ACCTTCAACAATAGCTGGAAGAGCTCAAGGATCAGCCTTCCCCACCCTCGCCCAACAGGCACGTCCCCGAGTGTCCTATTGTATGTGCGTGAGAGCCTGTTCCTGTCTCACAGTGGCTAAGCCCAGGGACCCCGACCATCCTACAGCCACAAATCATTTTTAAGGCACTTAATCCATGAGGTTATTAAGTTACACCCCGAAAGTCACCATCTGGCAGGGTGGGGTGGGGGGATTCCCACATGGATGGGGTCTCCTGGTGCTTCTCCAATTACAGCAGCTTGGATGTCAGTCCCTGATGACAGAGTGGAAGACACCCTCCCTTTCTCTCGGTCCACTCCCTCCCCTCCCCCGTGCGTCAGCCAGGTTTCCATTGTTTTTAAGGGAAAGGTGAGGGGGTGGATATTAGGAATCAACATTTATGGGACACCTACCACGTGCCAGGCCCTCTTCTGGGTACTTCCTGCACGTAGCTCACAAAAGCTTCATAATAAACTGTCATGGGAGTTAGTGTGCCCATTGTACAGATTAGAAAATCAAGATTATGTCATTTATTGAAGCCAAACCAGAGGTTTAAATGCAAAGTTGTCTGACTTCACATCATGATCTTTTCACGAAGACCTAAGATTCTAACATTCTTGCCTTTGATCTCTCCAGTTGCTTCTCTCGGCAAAATCTCCCCACCTTTCTTACAAAGCGACAGTCCTGGAGGAGGAATTATCATTGATTCATACACACAGCGGTGCCCTGGACAGCCCCCTCCCCATCCTTGGACGAGACGGCAGCTGGCCCATGAAAGTGCACAGAGTAACCCTCCCGCCTCCATCCTGAGCCTCCCACGGTGGCTCTTGTCCCTGCTGTACTCTGTCGCTGGGTGCTGGCTCCCGGCCAGCCGCTCCGGGGCTGTGCACTGATCAGCCTCCTCTGCTCTGGATGCGGCCATCTCGACTTGGCCCGGTGTCCCAGCGGCTCTCAGTCCCCCCAGCGCAGAGGGTCCCATCCCGTCCCTGGCCCAGTGCCACCACATCTGCATCGCCGGGACGGGCTTTGGAGGGTGGGAAGTGCACACCTCCCTGGAAGCCTCAGAGCCAAGAGCCGCTGACGGGGCCGCTTCACGGAATCCCCGGGAGAAGCGCACAGGCCTCCCGCACACGCGCCCACAACCCGCACAGTCCCCCTGCGAGGCGCGCGAGCCCCACCCCACGCGCAGGGGGCGCAGAGGCCCGCGGGAGGGTGTCACAGCCAGGCGGCTTCCATCAGCTACCAGCAGGGACAGGCTCTCACCTGAGAGGCCAAAGGGACTTGGCCACGTCCTGCCCAAGTTTCTCCCGACCGCGGGCTTGTGTGTGCCCGCGACAAAATGCAACCGCACAGGGTCCCCGACGGGCGTGCCGGCCTCTGCCCGTGGCACTTGCCAGCATTGAAGTACTAACAGGGCTGCTACTGAGGCAGCAGCAATGCCATGCCCACACCGGCCCTCGAGGGGTGCGTGTGTGTGTGTGTCTGTGTGTGTCTGTGTCTGTGTGTGGGGGGGTGTGTGTGTGTGTGTGGGTGTGTGCGTGCACACGAGTGCAGGTAACCGTCTAAATACACATATAATCTCCCACATACACATTAAGCTCATTTCAGCACTAACGAGTGATGATGTGCCCGCAACTGTTCTAAACGTTTTATACGTAGATAAAATCTTCATATCTTTCATATATTTATGTAAATCTTATCTATAAAACTTCACATACATATCCACATATATAAATCATATTAAGTCATTAAACAGTGACTATCTGCCCACAACAGCTCTACAAAGTACATGTAATAATGACATTTATACATACCTCATTATATAAATCTTATATATAAAACTATGCATATACATATGAAAATCTCATTTAATCATTGTGACTGTATGTTAGTAACTGTTCCAAAAACCACATGTAAAATTTCATACACACACACACATATATATATATATATATTTCACTACAAATCTCATTTAATCATTAAAAGGCTATATGCCCAAAACTGTTTGAAATATTACACATATAATTTAATTTTATATATTAATGCCATTTATATATTTAAAGAAATCTCATATATACATACACAGTTATATGTATACTTGTGTGTGTGTGTGTGTGTGTGTGTGTGTGTAAAACATAATTCCATTTAATCATTTAAAAAATCCCTATGAGGCAAGCACAGCTGTAACCCCCAAAGGCTGAGCGAGGCCGAACACTTCATGCTTGTGATACCAGGTCTCAGCTGAACTGCAGTCACCCTGGCTCAGACCTGCTCCCCCAGAGCTCGGAGCTGTCCCTGCCTCAGTCAGGGGCAATTCCAGTTTTCCAGCTGTCAGGCCCCAAGTCCCATCACCACCCCTGACTCCTCTCTCTGACTCCACAGCAAGTCCACCAGCAGATCCTGGTCCGCCTTCAGAGCTCACTCCGGACTTGACTGCTCACCACCTCAGCCACCGCACCCGATTCAAGCCTTTGTGGAGGACAGTTGTACAAGTGCAAGAATCTCCTCGCCCTCACTCCACTCTTACCTCCTGTCAGAGAGCAAATCTGCTGAAGCACAAGTCGGGGAAGCCACTCCTTTCCACATTCTCCAGGGTCTCCCATCTCACCTGGAGTGAGAGCTGGAGTCCTGTCACAACCCGCAGGCCTTATAGCACGTGTCTCCCCTGTGAAGACCACCCAACATGTTGAAATCACCACCTTCAAGAGCCTGAATAGTTTCTAGATGTCATTTATATATCTAAGACTTATTAAGAAGGGTTGGTAAGAATTTCTTTGGAGAGAACTGGGCTACCCACATCACACACACACACACACACACACACACACACACACACACCAGGAAAGTGAGGAGGCCTCCCCATTCATCTGAAGCCAAAGGAGAAGGGGCTTCAGTGAGAGATTTGTGTGTACCTCCTAAAAATTAGGGGACACTAGGGATTGGCACCTGGCTCATGCCTGAGAAATCCAATGGAGAAGACATGGAGGCAGACTCTACCCCACCAGTGAGACGGTCACTGCTGTTCAGAAGTCAGCGTGTACTCCTCGACTGCTTGGGCAGAAGGTGTGAGTGTTTCCGTGAACCACACGTGGTCCAGGCATGGCAAGGAGCTGGCTTGGGGATTGTCTTGCCCTAACGGGGCCGACAGACCTACCTCAACAGAAGAAGTTGGTGGTGGACCATTAGACTCCTAGGGGCTGAAGAGGGAGGGGTACTGGGCTGGTAGAGCTCATCTGGCAATTCTGAGCCTGGCCACCATCAACTGAGGGAAGTCACCAAGAAACCCATACAAGTTTAAAGAGATGGATAGATGAGAGATGGAAAGATAGGTGATAGATAGATCTATGAGGCCCAGAGAACAAAGATGCCCATCTGCAAACAGTAGCATTTGGTTCTTGTAAAATCCTTCCTGCTCCCCCCAGTCCCACCAGAAAAGGCAATGAGGGTCAGCAAGAATGAGTGGAACCTTTATACCATCAATGCCATTGGAAGCATTGATACTTAAATAGAACATGGCCATTTTTGATTATTGAATTGAGGCTGTATTATTTATCATAAAGGGCCTACAGCCTACCTGTGTTTTCATCTAGGGTCAGGAGAGGACTATTCCATGAAGCAGACTTAAAGGGACAGTGGGAGAAAAAATAACATTGCTTTTGGAATTAAACTCCATTACTGTTCGCTTATTCAATGCAGTGGTGAATCACCTACTTGTTGATGTATCTGACCAGATGGGCACTTCAGCCCACTTCACTCTGTTTCTTATTTTCCTCCCACTATTGGGTAAGGGGTCCTTTTAGCATAATATTACATCACAGTTAGCCTTGGGAGACAGTCAAAGGAACAGAGATTTGTCTTAGAGGTGCCACACTCTGAAACATCCAAAAGGCCTTGTCCAGTCTTCTGGAAGGACCAGAAGTAGTTAGGAGCAAAGGACTTTCCAGGTGTGACCTTGACTACTTAGGATGAATCAGGACTCTGGAGAAAGGTCAAAGAGGCACACAAAACCGCAATGAGGACAACGACACCAAGAACAATAGAAAGAAAAAGAAAAGGCAGGCCAGCAGAGGAGCAACCATGGGCTCCAGGCCAAGGCCGGCTGGCCCACACAGACTGAGAGGTGGCCTGACGGCAAATGGACAATTCCTGGTGCACCATCTTCTAGACTCTGAGGGTTTGTTGTTGTGCATGAGTGTTCTCTCCAGTACTGCACTGTGGGCAGTTCAGGAATCAGGGCAGAATTACTTGCCTTCCTCACAGTCCTAGACCCCAAACTCCTTCAGGACAGGAACTGAGTAATTTGTGCCTTGCAGCAGCTGTGCAGTGCCCAAGACAGAGCAGGGGGCTCACTACGGCTGCTGGATGGACAGATGGGCAGGCAATGACCTTGTGCAAATCCTTTCCCAGGATTCTCCGTTGCCAGGAAGCCCTGAAAGACTCCTTCTTCCTCTTTCCTGCAGGCCCTACAAAGTCTCGGGGGCCAGGCTCTGGAAGCAAGGGGCCCTCGGCAGTGCACCTCTCATAAGAGCCCATCTTGTGATGATCCAGGCACTGAGGTTACGTAGGTGGAAGGATTCTGCATGATTCTATAGTGACAAATATCGTTGTCAGCCATGTGTGGTAGCTGGGGTTGTACGAGATCAAACTCCATGAGTGAGGAAAGAGCCCTGTGTGTGAAACCTTCCAGGCATACCAGGGAATGGGTGAATGCTCATTTCAACACCCTAAAAATAATCGTGTGCCCCCATTCTCGGGTCCTCTGGAATCAAGCTGTTGCCACCCAGTGACTACCTGCCTGAATAACCAAAGCCTCGAGTCAGATGTGGGTGGGCAGGCCTGTGCTCACCAGGAACCCAGACACAACCTAGAAGCATCAGACATCTCAACCCCCTGGGGGCCCCAGAAACTTCTCCATTCAGAAACCACAGAACCTGTTTGTGAATTTCATGCATGGGCTGCAAAGTGGGGGGGACACAGGCAAATGCAGACCAAGTTCCAACCTTTTTATTCAAAGCAGCTTTGCACAATGTATAAATACTGCATATTAGCACACATGAAAATACAACTTCTAAGGCACCCAGAAATGTGTTCATACACGTTACAGGACCATTCACAAAGAGAGTGTACAATTTGCTCTAGACAGTCAGCATTTGACAAATCAGAAGATTATTATCCCCCAGCACTGTACCCAGTCTCAGGAAATATTTACAACGTGGTGAGAAAGGGTCAGCTGTACCTGCTCGGCAATTCTATGAAGTATTCATACTTACAAATATTCAGAACTAGTTCAAGACTCTCCCATGACAACCTGGCAAAAGAAAACGAGTAGCCTAATTCGCAAAGGTCTCCTTGGATTTTGGTGTGTGTGCTATATCCAGGATCAAATCCAAACACTCCTAGGGTGGGCTGGATAAGTTTTTGGTAGCCTGCTTCATTATCAGAAGTTTGGTAATAAGCCTTACCACTAGAATACCACTTCTTCAGCATCAAGCATTTCTCAACCAGTTAACGGATCAATAATTTTGTCATGAATGAGAATGGAGAGCATCACCTGGTGTGAGAACTGAAGAAAATTCTTCTCACATCAAGCAGGAATTGGAATGGGTTGATGTAGAACACAAGGAGGTGGAAATTCAGCGATTGCAGAATGACTGCTTAGTATAGACACATCTGAAAAACTCCCACTGAGGGTTATTATTCAGATGGCGCCGTCTACACTGGTCAGAGAACCTGGACGAATGCCAGACCTCCACCTTTAATGATAATGGATGAAGACTGGGACTGCACAGCAAAAACGCCCACCTGAGATAGCGAGTTTCAATCTGAGAAACTCATCTTTCAGGGCTTTATCAAGGTGACAACATATCCCTCTGTATGGCCAGCCAGGGGGGCATGAGGTTGGTGGAAGTGAGCAGTTTCTTTGTCCATGAAGCATGCACACCTGTCCAGATGTGCCTACAATCTATGAAACTCATGCTTTGTTGAAATAATGAAATTCTTTGGTCCTTGGTTTTATGAAAGGCAATATTTTCACAATCCTGTCAACATGGGCATCAGCAAATGACTTCAGGCTGGCACTAATGGGACAGGGACAAATTAAATACTAGATGGAAAACTCTACACCCTCCTAACTTCCCAGAGTCACCTTACTGAGCGCCAGCATCAGGCCAGGTGTTAGGCTAACGAGGCACGGTCAACCCGTGGAGATGCCAGAGCTAAAGATGAAAACTGGATGTCAGTTTTTCTGAAGGCTACATCCTGCCAACATCTGAAGCATATCTCCATCCCGTTGGTAGATCAGTTGACTTTATGAACACTATTCAAGATGAACCAAATAATAACTTGACTTTAGCCATGCTATAGCCTTGGTTTCAAAATTATCTTTAAAGCCTAGGTAAGAAGAATCAGTTGGTAACTATGGAAGTGTGACCAACCGAAAAGAATCATAATTTTAAGAAAAGTTAAGTCCGAATTTTAGTTGGTTTTATTAGGTCCCAAACATAGTGGGTGCACCGCCAATGAGCTTGAAGACTTATGCTCCATTGAAACAGCCCCAGGTGGACGGACTCAGCGGAGGTGTACGCTCTGCACCTAGTTTGCCTTTGCCCTGCTGAACATGAGTGTAGTATGGCTTAACACGCACAGTTCATTGATAAGATGCTCAGGACACATGGGAATGCTGATTATGTAACTGAAATCGACTTCAGATTGTCTACACAAGTAAGACTCACATGTAAACTTTATTAACATCTCTCAAGGAATGCTGATCTCAGCCAGGCTGGACGTTTCGAAGTCATCCACAAGAAACCTGGGGTCAACCACCAAGGTCAGGAGCAGGAAATGCCATTTGTTCAGAACAAATGATGGACCAGCAGCCCTCCCTGTGACCGTGTCTAAACCGTGTGAATAGTATAAAGGTGGCTCCAGAAAACCTGTCCTTGGTCCATGTGTATGGCCAAAGACAATCACCAAGGTGCCTATCTGGCCCCTGCCGCCATCAACTCAACCAAACTCTGCAGATAAGCCATGACTTACAGACTGCAACATGGCTTACGTTGCTTGGAAGAAACAACCCGTATTACCCTTTTTTTTTTTGCAACAAGCTTAAGGCTCTGTTCACAAATTCCATCGACTGCCACACAGTGAGAATTTATGGGGAGATCTTAAACTACGCATGTAGTTGCAAAGGTTGGAAAATTTACTGATCCTAATGGTAAGGCTTATTCACAAATGCAATACATTTTCAAATTATACTTCAAGAAAAAAAAAAATTAACCTGCTCTCTAATAATATAAGAGCATCAGAGTCTAATGGGGAAAAAAAACCAACATTGGCACCAAACCAGTATGCTATTTTTTGAAAGAACAAGTGATATTAATGGAAAGGATTGCCTAAAACGCATATTCTAACTTACCACAGAAATATAAAAGTTTATATTTTGAAAATATATACTGTATTAAAGTCTGTAAGCATTTCAACCAAAATTTGCAGAAATAACTAAGCAACACTTATCTACAACAAAAATATACATGCAAGACAACCCCCAAATGGTTTCCCTTAAATATCTACAAAGGCAAAGTGTAGATTTTTAAAGATTATACAAAACCATTTACAGAGAATAAAATAAAATACTTAAGAAATCTCATTTAGAGTCTTAAATACTGTGTATATTAGTGAGTGTCTAAACTAATATATACAACAGACCTCAGTATGTGAATATAGAAGACAGAGGAGAAGTAATTCTGCATTTTAAATATTCACTTAGGAAAATCTGAAGATGTTTCTATGTGTTTCGCTTTGTTTAAAAAAAAAACTTCCGCAGAAACCAGATTGTAAAACTGCATGAATGTAACTAAATTTCAAATTTTAAAAAGTTTACAAATTTTTAAACCAACAATTAATAATGGGAAATGCAATTCAGCACTCAGTCAAGGCTATTTTTAAATGTGGCTATTCAGAGATACGGTTGCATTGTTCAAAGTCTATTATGATTATTATTTTCCATCCTCATACTAAACTTTATATAGAAAAAAACACATTTTTATGATTCAGAGAGAACTTTTCCTAATTTAATCTAAACCAAACAAGAATAACATTTTAAATCAATCCTCTACTACCTTCGCATAGTTATCCAATTTCATCCTTGAAGGGTAATTTCGATGGTGTTTACCCACAGACATTATTCCAAAGCCAGAAGAGACACGTGGGTGTATCAGCATTATCCTGTGGCTACCGAATGGCAAGGAGCTCTGCCCACCTTCGCCAAGCTCTACACAAAGTCCTTTTGGAATGTGGCTGTCAACGCAAGTGGTTCCACTACAAGACCAGGATGCTCATCACCAGGGCCTGGAGCAGGGAGGGAGGAGGGTTCTAATGCCTGGCTAACAAGATGGCAAGAAGTGGACTGCCTAGAAGGTTCCTTGACTAAAGAGGGACCCTCAACTTCCCACCCAGAGCTGTTTTTCCAACTCCACAGGTAATTCTGGAATGCAGCTGCCAAAACAAGACACAATTCCTCAAAGACTTGTCCAGGAACTGACAGACACAGGGTGGAGGGTGGGCAAGGCAGGGCAGAGAGTGAAGAAAAAGGTCCTACGGGGGAAGGGAGGGTGCTGGGGTAGAGGATGACAAGTGAAAGCCGGAGCCCGATTTCAAGGAAGCTGTTAGGACAAACCCTGACACACCCACAGGCCTGGTATTTTCCATCCCAAGTCACTCTGCTGTGTTTCACCTACACATTACCCAAACAACTACTCAGAAAGTGAAAAAATTCAGAGCGTCAGTCTACCCTGCAGTAAAGATTTAACCAACTTTTGCCCAATTTGTGGAACATCCCTCTTGAATTGACTATATGGAAACAACCCAAACACAGACCATCTTTTGAACACCTCTTTTTGTAACTAGAACCTAGAAATTAACAACGGGAATTCCACCTTAGTGATGGTTTCACATTCCTACCTTATCATAGATCCTTGAAATGTTTAGAAGTTTGGATATGTCCAAAGCTAAAATAGTTCTGGCACTTTCAGCAGGGAACAAAGATAGGCATTGACCGAAATAAATTTCCAAACCTTCTCTTCCATCTCCAACAAGAATCCTGACACTGCTCCTATGGTAAACACATCTGCCCCTAGAAGGTAAGCAGAAAGCAAGGGTCTCTTTCTTTAGAGGATTTAGCAATGCTGCACAGATCATCTGCCACAACACCCAAGAATGAGGTTTCTCTGGGGGCTTCGGAAAAGCATACATTTGCTTTCTCAAAGAGACAAAACCCAAGTGGAAATGTGACAACAGGCATTTGGGCAGAAGCAGGTGTTTCCCTAGAATAATTCCCTCTAGTCCAGGGGTGCAGTTCCTACAGGATCCCACGTGCCAAGATGGCCCAGATGAAAGAGGGTAGAAGATAAGAAGCTTCATGAAGTCATGGAGAAACTCAAAAGTAGAGAGGCTTTCCACAGAAGGAACGAAGGCCATCTTAGGGATCAAGAGTCCAGATAAACTTCAGATTCACTGTCTAAAGGACCATGTCCCTGGCCATAGAATAGTTGCTCAGGGTGTTCTCTGCAACACAAAGCTCAGAGCCATGACTCCTTCCTGCCTGGCCCACTGCATCTGGTCACCTTTCAGAGAGAAAAAGGACCAGAGAGAGGCTCATGACCAACCATAGCAATGACCCTCCTTCTCTCAGCCCACCTCTCCTCCCCCGGCTGTGCCCAACTCTCACTGCTCCACTCAACTCTCTACAAGGAAGGGTCCTGAGAGACCGGCGACTAACATAGGAAAAGGGAAGACGGGCGAGCAAAGGGCCTCTGAGGACACTCAAGGGCAGCAGAGTGAAGAGGAAAGCTCCGTCGTGATTTCTCCCAAGAACAAGTATTCCATCGCCACAGTGAGAGCCGTTTTACATGCAGAGGACCTGGTGCAGAGCGATTCCTTTTAGCCACAGACGTTCTTTCATATTTACCTCTCTGAATTTTATTTCTATGTGGTTCCTTGCTACAATGCACCAAAAAGCATAAACCTCATAAGGGATTTGGTCCAGGGCAGTATGAAAATAGTATCTGTGTGAACGACAGATATCATAATATATAAACAAAAATAAATAAATTAAATAAGTCTGATTAAAGAAAAAAAAAAACATTTTCCTAGGAGTTTATGTTTTTGCAAAACTAGCTTTACATATAATACACATAAATTATCAGAAATTCCACTTACATTGTTTTAAAAAATATATATTTAACAAAACATTCCTAAATGTACAATATCTGGGTTTGTAAATCACTCAGGTGGGTTTTAAGACCAAGCCCTAAAAGTCACACAGATGTGCATCAGAGAGGAGACTGAGGCTGGCTGTCACAATCTCATTGGTCTGGGAATTCCCTAAGATGGACCGTTTCCCTTCACCAGATCTGCACTTAACGAGAAAGGGCATGGTAGCCTAGTCTCCAGATCAGAGGCACTGTGTAGACACGGTCTGAGTCAGAAAATTGGGGAAACTGGTCTTCCCCTTCCTGGACCAGGATGGTGCATTTCAACAAGTGGGGACAGAATGGTACCTGGAAGAGGCCTGGGAAGATATAGCCCTCGATAGCTCTCTAGCCAGTTGGGGTAGGGACATGGGGGAGGCCAAGTATGATGCGTTTCCCATCTGTTACACAAAATCAAACCAATGCGGAACAACCAAAGGAGAAAACGAAATTAACACAACCCTAGGTATAGAGACACCTTGACAAACTCCTTGGCCGGGCTTACTCTGGGCTCCGATTTCTGAAACACAGGGCAAAGCTGGAAGTCAGGTGCCCTTGATCACTGGGGCAAGTGAGCTGGGGCCCTTCAGACTTCGTAAATTTTGTCCTGCAGGTAGCTGAACAGGGAATCCAGGCCTTTGGAGGAACTCCAGAGCTGCTTCAGCATGAGGCATTCCTTCTCATTCACATCTTCAAGCACTGATTTCAGGAAGCTCCGAACGAGGCATTTCGACTCCTCCAGCACCTGAGGGGAAAGGCACAGCCTCATTAGCCGGGCACCAGCGACTCTGCTCCAGGAGGCACCGGTCAACCTGATGTCCAAAGCCACAGGACTGCCTACTGTAGTCGGGGCTTCCCGGGCCCATGTCCCTAGCCATGCCAGGAATGGATTCCATGCCACCATGTTGAGCCCACATCATCCCAGCCCCAGAAGCTTTGTCTTTTACCCAAGGATAACATAAACTGTTTCATCTCCTAGGGTGTCATGAAAATGTTTAGCAAACACTGCTTTCCCCTCCCTGCACTTCATTTTCATTAACTGTGAAACAGAGCAACGATACCTAACTCAAGGATGGTTGGGATCACAGTAAGATAATGAAATGAGCTAAGGGTTGTCTGAGCATCCACATGAGCCACCTCAACAGCAATGCCCCTCCTCCAAGCTTAGTAGTAAGAGCAGCAGTAATAACAGTACCAAGCATTGTAGTAATGAGTATAATAATTACAACAATAGTAGTAGTAATGAGTGAGAATAGTGAGAATAACAATAGTAGTAATGCTATAGTATTATAGAATAACAGTAGTAATGTTATTAAAGGGGTAGTAATAGTAGTAATGTTATTAATAGAGTAGTGATAATGGTAACAATACTAATAATACTGTAGCATTATAGCAGTAATTATACCAATAGTAGTAGTAGTGTTATTAAAGGAGTAAGTGATGTTAGTAATATAGTAGTAATAGTGGTAATGATACTGATACATTATAGCAGTAATTATAATGATATTAAGAATGCAGTGGTAATCATAGTAATACTAACCATAGTAATGCATAACAATTGTAGTGATCATATTATTAATAATAATAATGCCACTACAATCACCATTAACCAATAGGTCTATGAGAAACATTTTCCTGCATTCTTTCATCTCTTGCTCATGATAGCTCCACAAATAGGTAGTCTCCATATTAAAGAGGAAGGATCTACACTCAATAAAGTAAGGCTGCCCAGAGTTGCTTGATGGACGTGGCCTGCAAACATCTGCTGATCCTAACAGGCTGCACTCTGCCTCATTCTGGCAGAGGCTCCACCAGCAAGTGCAGCATCTGACTGGCCTCCACCATCCTCTGCTGATGTCACAGCTTCAGGTCCCACTCTCAAATAGAAAAAAGCAAGACAAGAGCTCGCCTGCTCAAGCAGGCTGGAAAGGGGCTATGACCTTATTCTTCAGCTTGGGCTGGAGGCGAACAGGTGGTGAGAATGGGCTGGCAGACCAAGAATTCCTCTGAAGAACACCATCTCCCAGAGGCTGTGCGTAGATTCCTTTCTTTGGCAAATCGACCTAAAGCTCCTGAATTCATAACCATTGATAGGAGAGGTTCCCTTGCCATGTGTAACAGCCGGTTCCACCTGAAAACCTCCACTGCCCAAAGACCAAACTCCTCAGTGGAGCTTTGGGGCCTTTCTCCTACCTTCATTTTCATGCTTTGTCCCTTGACTACCCTGTGAACCTGCTCACACCACCATGACCTGCTGCCTAACCTCCATGTGGGGTCTTTGGACTTGAGTGCTCTAAACTCACGCTGTTTCTTCTTCTTAGAATTTCTACCTGCCTCCCCAGACTGGAACAGAAGAAGCAGAACTGTTACTATAAGTGGATGACCTGATATTATATATAAAAAACCCTACAGACTCCACCCAAAATCTGTTAGAACTAATCAATGAATTCGGTTAAGTTGCAAGATACAAAATGAATATTCAGAAATATGTTGCATTTCTATACATTAAAAAACAATCCAATTTACAATTGTATCAAAAAGAATAAAATAGCTAGGAATAAATTTAACCAAGGAGATTAAACACCTTTACTCTGAAAACTCTAAGACACTGATGAAAGAAACGGAAGATGACACAAATAAATGGAAGGATAGACCATGCTCATGGATTGGGAGGATTAATGTTAAAATGCCCATACTACCCGAGGCAATCTACATAAAATTTAATGCAATCCCTATAAAATCACTAATGACTTATTTCACAGAACGAGAACGATAATCCTAAAAGAATTTTTACAATATTTTTAATGATTTTCAGAGAGGAAGGGAGAGGAAGAGAAAGAGAGAGAAAAACATAGACGTGAGAGTGAAACATTGATCGGCTGCCTCCCGCACACCTCCCACCAGGGACTGCGCCCACAATCCAGTTATGTGCCTCTACCAGGAATCAAACCACAACCCTTCGATGCACTGCACGAAGCCCAACCAACCGAGCCACAATGACAAGAGCACTAATCCTAAAATTTACATGGAACCACAAAAGACCCCAAATTGCCAAAGCAATCTGGAGAAATAAGAACAAAGTTGATGGCATCATGCTCTCTAGTTTCAAATTACAGTAATACTACAAGGCTATAGCAATCAAAACAGTATAGCACTGGCACAAAAACAGATCAATGGAACAGAACAGAGAGTCAGAAATAGACACACAATTCTATGGTCAATTAGTCTACAACAAGGGAGGCTAGAACATACAATGGGGAAATGACAGTCTCTTCCCTGTGTTGGGGAAACCGGGTAGATACATGCAAAAAATGAATGTGGACCACTTTCTTCCTCCATATACAAAAATACACTCAATGCCATAAAACTCCTTGAAGAAAACATAGGCAGTGAACTCTTTAACATCAGTCCCAGAGATGTCTTTTGGATATGTCTCCCAAGCAAAGGCAACAAAAGCAAAAGTAAACAAATGAAACTACATCAGACTAAAAAGCTTTTGCACAGTGAAGGAAACCATCAACAAAATGAAAAGGCAACCTACTGAATGAGAGAAGATATTTGCAAAGATACATCTGATAAGGGGTAAATATTCAAAATATGTAAGAAATGCACATAGTTTATCACCAAAAAAATCCAATTAAAAGGTGGACAGAAGACCTGAATAGACATTTCTCTAAAGAGGACATACAGATTTCCAAAAGGCATGTGAAAGGATGCTCAACATCACTAATCATCAGGGAAACACAAATCAAAACCACAATGAGATACCGCTTCACACCTGTCAGAGAGACTCTTATGAAAAAGTCAACAAATGGGCATTAGCGAGGCTGGGGTGAAATGGGAAACCCTCGTGCATGGTGGGTGGGGTTATAAATTAGTGTAGCCACTGTGGAAAACAGTAAGGAGATTCCTCAAAAAAATTAAATACAGAACTACCATACAACCCAGCAATTGCACTTCTGGGCATCTATTCAAGGAAAAGAAAACACCAATTCAGAAAAGATATATGCAGCTCTCTGTTCACTGCAGCATTATTTAAATAGCCAAATATTAAAGCAACCTAGGTTTCCATCAATAGACGAATGGATAATGAAGATGATGTATACATACAATGGGATATTATTCAGCAATAAAAAGAGTAAAATCTTACCATTTGAAGCAACATAGATGGACTTAGAGGATATCTATGCTAAGTGAAATAAATCAGACAGAGAAAGACAAATACCATATGACTTCACTTTTATGTGGAATCTAAAGAACAAAATAAACAAAACAGAAACAGATTCATAGATACAGAGAACAAACTGATGGTTGGCAGATGGGAGGAGGGTTGGGGGGCTGGGTGAAAAACGTGACGGATTAAGAAGCGCAAAATGGTAGTCACGAAATGTCACAGGGGTGTAAAGTACAGCATAGGGAATATAGTCGGTAATATTGTAATAATTACGTATGATGCCAAGTGGGTACTAGAATTACCAGGGGAATCTCTTTGTAAAACTTATAAATGTCTAACCACTATGGGGTCCACCTAAAACTAATATAAAATAATACTGAATGTCAACTGTAAAAAAACCTTAAAAAACACACAAAAGAATAAAAAATAAAACCAAAGAACAAACAAAACAAAATAGCAACAGACTCCTAGATACAGAGGACAAACTGATGGTTGCTGGGGGGGAGGGGATGGGTGGAAAAGGTGAAGGGGAATGAGTGGTACAAACTTGCAGCTGTAAAATAAATCAGTCAGGGGGACGCAGGGAAGACTCAATAATATTGTAATAACTTTGTACGCTGACAGATGGGTACCAGACTCATCGTGATGATCACATCGTAAGCTATATAAATGCAGTAGCACTAGGTTGTACACCTGAAATTACTATAATATTGTATGTCAACAATACTTTAATAAAAAGTATTTTTTCAAATTCCTACCTGCCCATGCAGCTGACCCTAGGGTCATCAACCATCCATGTTTGCCCAGGACCAGGGGGTTTCTGGGGAACCAGGGATTTTTCAGTGCTAAAACCAGAAGGGTGCCAGGCAAATGGGAACAAGTTGGTCACCACAGTTATTGGGAAGATTACAAGAGAATCCGTAATAAGTGTTCATCAGAGATGCAGGACCATGACCACCCATCGTCATCACTGGTACAGTCAGGCTTCTGGGGAGAGGAGCTTACATACAGTAAGTGCCCTATAAAGGCTGAGGGGTCGAATCCAGAGAGGCACAGCAGCTGGCTGGGGGCTCGGGATAGATGGGGAGAAGGGAGGGTCACAGGTCTGGCCCCCTAAACCCAGCCCAGAAAGGGTCCTCCAGCCTTATTCTACCAGCGCGCCTTTCTCATTTCCTGAGCAGGCCCTGTGGTTTCGGGGCAGCCCATTCTCCACCTTTCAACAGGATATTTCCACACTGTGCTCGGAGTGACTTTTATGAGATAAAAATCAACACTTAATTAAAATCTGCGCCTGAGAGGAGGTGTCATTTATTTATCTATTTTTCACTGTGTCTTCGGAGTCGCACGATGATGCTGGAACGTGCCAAGTGCTCCGTGGGCAGGAGAAACACTGGGACGGCATGGGCTGCCTTCTCTCGTCCCTCGGCCGGCTTAATACACTTGGTCCTTATTTGCCCCTGCTCGTCTTTGCAAACTACAGATGCTTTGTGTTTTGGGGGTGTTGAGGACTTTCTTTTAAGGCAATGCTTTCTTCCCCAGAGTATAAATCTCTTCTGTGAGGTTTTTTAAATTGGAAATGATGGGGAATACCAACAGTGCTGACCTGAGCACCTCCCTCTTGGGTTTAAGCACTCAAGTGAGACGGGGCATCTGTTAAATTACACAGGGCCTCTCACGTACTCCCTGCATGACCTTTGGCAAATCAATGAGTCCCTGTCGGCCTCACTGCCCTCATCTGCAAAAAGGGTCTCTTGTGATGACAAGAACACAAAGACAAAGGACTCACCAGTGCACTGCAGGCCGCCATCTCCTTGACCCGCAGCATGACCTCCTGGCTGAACGTGGTGGGCCAGAAGACCTGGGACACCAGTCCTCTGCTGCACGCCTCCTGGGCAGTGAGCTTCCGCCCACAGAAGAGCATCTCATTAGCCTGAAAAAGCAAAAGCAGGGGAAGGCTGAGAGCCGGGGGACCACCTCCCATGTCTGTTAGCGACGCCTGGGCCTGCTGTAAGTGTTCCAGGTCTGGAAGGCAGGGTTCTTAACCAGGGTCTGATAAACTTTGGGAACTATGAGCAAATATTTGTGTCTGTGTGCATCTTTCTGAGCAGAGGGTCCACAGCTTTCATTAAATTCCCAAAAAAAGCCAGGTACCTAATGTGGCTTCGTCTGCCCGATCCCCTGCCTCTGCCATCTGGCAGCAGACCCCCAGAAGTGAGCACGCACCTCTGGCTGGGTGCATTTCCACACTGCGTGACTGGCCTGGGGTTGAACAGATGACCTCCCCCCCAGATAATAAGGCTCTCTGTGAGGTTTCTAAGCTGGAGGTGATGGGTAAGAATCTTTCTCCCTCCCTGGTTGCAGGCTAAAGTCAATGGGTCCAGGGCCACCGGCTGCTGTGCCCCCGCTCTGTGGATAGGCAGGTCCCCAAAGAAGGAAGGAATGGAGGACACGAGTGCTGACAGTGCTTGAATCCCTGGACCAGTCACCCCCAGGGGCATTCCACTTTTGGGCTTGTCAGTTATGGGAATCACCCTTCCCCCCACCCTCCTTCAAGCCAAAGTGTTTCCATCACTGGCAGCCAAAAGGCTCTTGCGTAACCGTGACACCAACACAGAGGAGCGTCTCCTGGTGGCCCAGGGCTGTGCGCAGGCACTGCCCAGTCTTGAAAGGTGGAAAAGTACCCCCTGCCTTCTGAGGCTCCTCTGCACACCACTCCCACAAAGAATTTTCTTTTGCTTTGAAGTTCACGGCTGTCATACACGTTCTGGGAGGACCTACGTGAACAAGGTCCTGGGCACAGACAGAGCACAGTGCTGTCACCTCTGAAACTCACCAACAGGAGATTCTCGCACTGATAATTAGGGCTTAATGGTAGCAGCCATGTGACAGGGCCCTTATCTCTTTCAGGATGAGTCTCCACCTCCTCACAGGGCAGCCGACTCCTTCCCTAGCCTGCCATCGACCTGCTTCCCCTACTCTTCCTTCCCCATAGTCTTAGCCACTCTCGGATCAACACTGAAATGCCAAGCTCTCCAGGCCTCTGCGTCCATGCACGGCTTCCCTCTTTGTTCTGGTTGTCACTAATAGGTCATGATGACCCAAAGGACAATCTTTCATGCCAGAATGGGAAACTCAATAGAGTCGGTCACAAGCCCATAGCTTGCATTGGCTAGAGGTTGGAAGACAAATATATCTATCATTATACTTATTTAAGACCACCTCTGTCTCAGGACAAAGGAAAGGAACTCAGTGGAAGGGCCACATTCTTGGAGTTTCAGAAATGACTGAAATGAGAGAGAGAAAGAGATAAGACTGTACAATGTTAACATTTTTGTGACCACAAAGGACGGGAAGGCACTGGAGTGGCACTGAGCTTGGGCAGAACACAGTGGCTGAGATCAGAAGGGAAAGTGTTTGCTTCCTGGGCTCCCTGCCTGCCTCATTTTTCTGCCCCTGGTAAGACTGAGTGGCCTAAAGCAGCCGAATGAGTTGTGAATCCGAATGGCCTTATCTGTCCCTGCTGTGGGCCCTGCTGCATAGACGTGGTGCTGGGGGTTTGAGGGCTGAGGGTAACCTCCGCTGGTCTCTTGGTTGCTATTCCTGCTTCATGCTACCATCAAAGTGAGACAGCCCACGCAGAAGTGGGGGAAGGGGAGCTCCACCCTTCCCGGCTCACTGGAGCAGTACCCTGCTAGGGCCTCCTCTAACCTGCCCCATGGAGCTTGGCCCTGTCGTCTGGGTCATGATTCTTTGGTGATTTTCTGGGGTCTCCTAGGACGTCCAGCATCTGTAGGCAGAATGCTCCCAGCAGCCTTGGGGAGCAGAAGCAGACCTTGGTGGGGCCTGCACTGCATCAAAGCCACTTCAAAGTGCCACCTGTCAGACCTAGTATACCAACCACCCACGGAACCCCTCCTGTGTCCTGGTGGTGCTAATCTCAGACTCACTATTCAGGCGGGTGCTATTTTACAGAATACTGATTAAGAACACAGATTCTGTGTTCATATCCCACAACTTCCATTACCACTGTGTGACCTTAGACAACTCACTAAACCTCTCTGATTCTCAGTCTCCACATCTGTCAAGAGGGGATAACAGTGGTCCTACCTACAGGGCTGACATGAAGATGAACTGAGTTCATGGCTGTCAAGCCCTGGCCCCAGTGAGTGCTTTCTGAGCTGTTATGACTCACCCCTGCCCAGATTTGCTTCCGGCTGCTGGTGCAGAACCTGACCACAGCCTACAATGGATTCTGTGACCTTGCTTGAACACCACTCTGCCTGCTTACGAGGAGGCTTACCAGCGCAACGCCCAGGATCTGGGGGAAGGTATAGGAGGAGCAGCCGGCGGGCGTGAGGCGGATGGTGGCATAGGGGGTCTGAAACCAGGCCTTCTCGCTGGCCCACACGATGTCGCAGAGGGGCAGGATGGAGGCACCCAGGCCCAGGGCGGGCCCGTTGATTGCCACCACGATGGGCTTCTTAAACTGGATAAAGGCCTTCACAAAATCCCTGGGGAAAAGAGAAGACCCGCTTTAACATGTGGCCAGGCTTGCTGAGACCATGTGACGCCCCTGGTTGCACTGAGACTGAAATGAGCTTCCCCAGGTGCTGTGAAGCACCTGCAGGTCCTCAGAGAAGAGTGGGTGCAAGGCTAGGGTCTCATTTTCCCAAATGCCGGGCCACTGAGCTGCATTTACAGGCCTGGCACCCTCAGAGGTTCATGCCCAATTTACAGAAGGGACCTAATGGAGTGAGCACATGTCCGAGTCCACCCAGAGGACCCGTCACACCCACTGTGCCAACACTCCACCAGCTCCCCTTCCCTTCCACTCCCTAGATACTGACAACTTGTAAATATCCCAAGGAAGACAACCTGAATATTAAGATTCAGAACCAGAACCAGAACTAGAACCAAAAGGAGGGTGTTACAAAGAGGCATATCTGAACTCAAGGAGAGAAGAAATGTTCCAGCAGCACTGGCTGAGGTGGCATGGGCAGCTTCAGGAGGTGTAAATTCCTCATTATTGGAGATCATGTTGGCTTGATGATAACTTTGGGTGATGTTATACAGAGAATTCAAGCTTCAAATGGTGGGCGTGGGTCAGGATTGATGACATCTAAGATTTCTTTCAGTACCAGGGTTGTCTGATTCTGAATTACCTAAAGGGATGCCAGATTCTCAAGGGTGGTTCTAGAATGCTGACAAGTGTCTGTGTTAGGGTAACTTTGACCAAAACTGGGGAGAGATGCTGGGCTCCCCTGGAGGCATGAGGCATCTGGAATCATGGCTACAGGATTAGGCAATATTTTATCTCCCTCACCTTCTGCATTGAGCAAGGCTACAGCCTGCATCTTTATCTATTATGCAGAGCCACCCGAAATAACCCTACTTCCTTTACCTTACACGCCTTTTGCCTCCCCCCTACTTGCTACATAAGACCTATAAAATTTTAATATTCATCTGGACATGGAGGAAAGATCCAAGATGTCTAGTAAAGCCTGCATCCTTCATTATTCTCAGGTGATAAACTGGAAACTACCAAGAACTCACAAGAATAAAATCGAAACTCCCAACAGTGACCTTGGTCTACCTCTGCTTAGGTCTCCAGGCTTATCTCATGTCTCACACACCCCTGCTCTCTGTGCATGAGCTGCACGGCCCTTCTGAGAGCTCTTGGAAAACACCATTATCACAATTTGCAGTTACCCTAATTACTTGCTTGCTTACTTGTGTCTGAATTCTCCTCCCCTTCAGCTCCTTAAGAAAACCCATAGGCCTGCCTTGTGCACTGCTTGGTCTCATATATATTGGAATTAACACTCGGTAAATATCGGTTGAATAGATACAGGACTCTCCCAGAGCAAGAGCAAAGACTACAGATGTGTGGGAGTGACATACTATTTCTTCACCAGACCTGATTCCCCCCTTCCCTCTTCTTCCTGAGTCTACTGCTAAAACACATTTCCCAGCCTCCTTGCAATTAGCTGTGGCCAAGTAACCAAGTGCTGGCCAATGGAATGTGAGTGGAAACCATATACACACTTCCAGGCTTGGTGTGTGGAAACTTGTCACCATGCAGTCCTCCCGGCCCTTTCATCTTGACAAGCATGGCAATCTTAGAAGACATTTGTTGAGCCACAAAATAGGAGTTTGGGTTACTGAGTCACCACTTGGAGGATAGCCATGGGCTGATCAGTAACATCTGTTTTAGGTTCACATATGCTAGAAGTACATTTCCAGCACAACTGAGTGATGATATATACTTGGGGTTTATTTGTTACAGCAACTAATACTTAACTAATACAAATATCAAGTGGATTCATCCCTTTTCAATGGTTACCATTACCCCCCAATTCTTATCAAAAGATGTGGATATCATGGTGATATGCTGAGATCGAATTCAATTGTGAAAAGACTTCTTAATATTGCGCTGGGGCTGGGGTTATCTTATGACCCACGTCTTCATGAAAGTATGCACCCAGGCTTGAGGCATCACATTTCCTGACTCCCGTATGACTCTGTGAGTAGATGGCAGTTATCCCAGCCACTGCTGCCCTACTGCAGCTGACCCCAAAAGGACACTGCTCCAAAGAGGGAGTGCTGGCACCACCACCCTCTGATTCCCACTTTTCCAGGCCCATTTCCTGGTTTGTTTCCTAACATGATGGTCTCAGTCACTGGTTTTAACAAGTGCATTTTACCAAAAGCGATTTGGAGGGTGCAGGGAAATGGCATTTCTTTGCAGGATCTTTGGAACCACAGGGTTTGAGTGATTTTCAACAGACATTCCATTCCTAAAAACACTTTTTCAGTTACAGGATCCTGGATCTCAGAATGAGAAGGACTTCAAGAGTCACTGAGTCAGCCCAGCCAGCGTGGCCTATGATCCAGGCGATCGTGGTTGAATTCCCGGTCAGGGCACATGCCCAGGTTGCAGGCTCAATCCCCAGTGGAGGTTGTGAGGAGGCAGCTGATCAATGACTCTCTCATCATTGATGTTTCTATCTCTCTCTCCCTCTCCCTTCCTCTCTCTGAAATCAATAAAGACATATTTTTTTAAAAAGTTTTTTTTAAAATGCCTTCCCATTATGACCTCATGTGGGCCTCTGATACTAGCATTCGCTCTGCTCCATCATCCCCATGACAGCCCTTCAGGAATTCACCTCAGCCCTCAACCTTCTCGGAGCTTCCCCTTCCACACCCCAGAGCGTTTCACTCTGTGGTTTCCAACCTGAGCCCTGTGCAGGGGCATCAAGAACCCCCGAGAAGGGCCAAGGGGACTAAGTATCCTGACTCCACCCTCCCACCACCCCTCCTGACAGTCCAAGCAGTTCATTTCCTTGATACGAAAAGATGATGCACAGACCGTCTCTCCATTCTTTCCCTCTCACCTCAAGCAGATCTCTATCGCAAGGGCCCAGAGGGTGTAGAAGCCAGATAGCAAACAGGATATTGCATTACAGACCCTGCTGCTCAGATATCTGATCCTGACTCGGATAGCGGGGCTGCGCTAGGGAGATGGCTCCCTGTCTTCCCCAGCAGCCAAGTCCACCACACTGACTCCGGCCCTTGAAGCTTCCTTCACTCAACCTGAGTCCTGCGGTTTCTGCTTCCTGAGCTGCTGGGCTGTTCGGATGCAGAAGACGACACAGGAACTTTGGGTTTGAAAGACTTGGGGTCAAGTTTCAACTGTGCCCCTAACCAGGGGTGAGGTCTTGGACAAGTTGCACAGTCTCTGCAGCCTTGTTTTCTGCCTTGGAATTTGGGAAAGCCACTGGTGTGTCCCCACAGGCCACATGAGAATTACGTGAGACATCCACCCAGGGCATCAGCATAGTACCTGCCACAGGGGAGCCCTCGATCGCTGCTGCAGAGGGCGGACACAGCTTTCATCCCACTCTCAGTGGTCTGTGAACCACTCTCCTGGCCTAAAGGAGACTCAGAAGCAAAATTCTGCTCATGGGGGTGTCTGGATTTCACCAGGAGCAACTGGCATTTCTTTTGTAACCCAGCTGTGCATTCCTTTTAACCAGAGCCATGGAGTACAGCCCTCCCACTGCCAAAGTTCAGAGCCAAGTCAGCTGGCACAGGACCTGTGAGCACACAGTGATCATCACCCTGGGGACCCCAGAGGGGTACTCTAGGAGCCCACTCCATCGTCAGACCCAGGCTCAGCTAAAACTGGGAGTAACATGAAAATAATTCTTTACACCTATTCTAAGTATGTATTATGTGCCAGGAACAGGCCAAGTGTTTCATGTGGGTTATCTGATTGCTCTTCCTACAACCCGCCAGCAGGCCAGCACCGCAGCACCTGTGAGACCTCAGGTGCGGGCAGCCTCTCTTTCAGGATGGGGCAGACAGCTGTGTCTGGGTCCCGGAGGGAGGCGTCTGCTGACTGAATCATCTGAGCTCTTCCCACATCTGCCCGTTCATTCAGCAAATATCTGCAGTGAGCGCGGCGCCCTGGGTCCTGTGTGCACCTGCTTTCTTTAGGGAGCGATGAGGGCGTGGTGGGGGCGCTGCTGGAGGGACAGCCGTGGCCGTGTGGCACGCTCAGATCCTGGAGGTCAGCCCAGCTGAGGGCATACAAGTCCCAAGAGAGCCGCGAGGGATCTCACTGGGTTATGAGGTCATATGGCTAAAATGGGTTTCCGCCATGCTTGATTTTGAACAAAGTCCTTTCCCAAGAAATTTCAGACTGTCAATATGTTAATATGCCTGGAAAATCTGTAGGAGCAGGGAAAGAACTTCGGGCGTGGCCCAAACTCAGTATGACAGTGCCCTTTGCTTACGATGCTCCTCTAGAAACCTGTCCCAAACTCTGGAGTGTGGCGGCTGGAGCACTCCAAGGTTGGGGGCACTGGGGCTCCCCACAGGAGTGTGGTGGTGACGAGCATGCTGGGGTCATTTTCTGACCCGGGACCCACTCTTCTCTACAAGGCCATACAGTCTACACCCCACTCATCCCCTCTTGAAGCTCCTCACCCTCCCTTACCCCCCCATCACCTTCCTCTTCACCCTCTTCTCTTACAGCCACTTTTCTTCTCTTGCATAAAAAATAAGGACCTTTTTGTTTCTACAACTTTTAGTGCTCTCAGTCAACAGTGCAAAAACTTCTTGGATGGGATGGGGCAGGGGTTCTCAACCCTGGCTGCACATTAGAATCATGGAGGGAATTTTAAAACTAAAGATATGCTGGCCCCACCCCATGCTCATTAATTCAGAATCTCTTGGAAGTGCCACCAAGCAGATGGGTTTTGAAAAGCTCCCTAGGGAGTCTCTGTGCTGCTGGGGCTGAGAACCAGTGGTCTAGGGGACATCCCCATTCCCCCTCCCTCCCCACATCTCTGGCAGCTCATGCATTGTGAGCTTCTGCTCCCTTTGAAGCATTGGGAAGATTTGCCTCGACTGTCTTTCCTCCTGCTCTGCCTGAGAGAAACTTACCTTCCTGATGAGATGGCAAATGTCTGAATTCCACTGGCCACGCTTCTCTAGAGGTAAGCTAATATATTCAGCATCTCCTCAAACTTGGGACCTCTGGAAATCAGCTAATGCCTCCATAGAAATTCATAAACCAGATGAAGTCTACAGCCAAGGTGCTCCTCAGCGGCAGAGATGGGCACCCCATCTCTGATGGTCCCACAAACAAGGAAGGAAGCTTACTGGGGACCATCCTGTTCCCCCACCACTTGAAAAAGCAGCTAAGTAGTAGCAGAGAACAGACTGCCATGGACATGGCCAGGGCTGTCTGCACCCAGGGAGCCTAAGAGCTGCGTGAAACTATGATGCCTTTTCTAATAACAGTGTTTGGGCTTTTCACGTCTCTGTTGAGAGACATGAGTTCTGCAACAGGAAGCACAAAGGTGTTTGGAACACAGACTCCAGTAGGTACGTCACTCTGAATTGGGACTTAGAGCCCCACATCTGAGGGCATCCCTGTGCCATCTCTTAGAGACTCTGCACCTCCTAGAAGTCTCCCGCAGCCTCTTAGGAATCGGCACCTGTGCGATGACGTCACAGTGCAGTGAGACTGGAGGGCCCAGAAAATCCCTAACCTGCAGCCCAGGCTCCCTGACACCATGGAATAAATGTCCCTTCTCAAGAGACCAGGCAGCATCACTGAACTGTGACTCTTGTCCGAGGGCTTTGCAAGGTGCATCAGTGAGCATGTGTGCCCTCCTCAGGTGGAAGATGAGTGACAGCCCTTGCTGGAAATCACGTGAGCTCACTTGCTTTTGATAAACCTATAAAGAAGGGGGACATAACTACCCTTCAATGTCCCCAAAAGATACTGATTCCTGGGATCAGATGTCACCCCAAGATCCCAACTTTTGCCCCAAAGGCAACAAGAGAGGAGATAACACTCCCCAGTCCCTAGGGTCTGCAAATACACAGCTGCCTAGGGAACCTCTCCCTCCTCCTCCCCAGTGATGAGCCAAGTCAGCTCCAGGAACAGAGATGCCCAGGAAATCAAAGATTTCACCATCAGACAGAGGGCAGGAGAAATGTGGATAATACATGGGCATTACCAGGTGCTGAAAATATAAGAAAGTAAAATATTTTGGGGATCAGAAGAATAAAATGCGATCTTACCTAGACAGCAAAGGCATCCCTAATTTGGGAAAGAAAGTACAGGATGCCCAATCAAACTCCAAATTTCAGATAAACAGCAACTTTTAAATTTTCTTTTTTAGTATAAGTATATCCCAAATGTTGCATGGGACATACTTATGCTAAAAAGTAATTTGTCGTCTGAAGAGTTTAACTGAGCAGCCTGTATTTTTATGTACTCAATTTGGCAATCTTAGGCAGGTCCCCTAGTGTCTGAACAGGAGCAGCTCACCTGATGGATTCTGCAATACGGGTGCTCTCCTTTCGCCGGTCACTGGACAACCGACCGATTAGGTAGGAGTAATCCAGGCCACTGCAGAACACACTGCCCACAGCGCTGAGGAGTAGCAGTTTGCTGTCGTCCGTGGCCGCATTGCAGAGAGCTCGTCGAACCTCCTTCATGATCTGTGGACAGAGATAAATTTGTGGAGATGTTAAATGTTCATCTGGAAGCCAGGGGCAGAGGTGAGTAAATCTGCTCTGTCTGTGCAGGGAGCCTCCCCTGAAGATAAGCCACGTCCAGACCTAGAATGTGGATTAACTATGTAGCAAGGAACTGATGTATGTGGCCAGTGAGGACCTGAGACCTGCCAACAGCCACTAGGCGAGCCTGGGCTATAAGGGTTACTAAGGAAATTGAGAAAAGAAAACGCATTAGAGAGCTATTCAAGATACTAAAGTTAACAGGCCTTCAGGATGGTGTGGGGATGGGGTATGATCAAGAGGGCGTGACGTGTGACTCCTGCACGCGGGGTGTGCCCCATGGATGGAGGTGTGCTGTCTCTGAGCACTGGAGACAACCAGGAGCTGAGCAAGGGCTTGCGGTCCTGTCCTAATGGGAAAGTGGAAGGGCTTTGAATCACCAAGACTTTGGCCAATCTATTCTGCTGACTCTTTCCTTAAGGGGCATTTTCATTATTCTCCTGACTCTTTATTTTATTCCAGACAGGGGAAATATTACAACATACCTGCTGGCCTCAGAATCTAGTTAACAAACCCAGTGACATATGAATTTCTGCCATGAGGCCAATGTCAACTAGAAAAAGAAGTTCAATTATGACCCTGAAGGTGGCGCCCTCCCAGTTCCTCCATGAAAGAGCAAGACGGAGTCTGCTGGTGGCCATTAAATCCCTTCTGTTTCATCTTAACACTGACAGGAACACCCACTGAATACCTCCTATGTGCCAGGTACTTTGTGAACCTCTTTGCAGACATTATTTCTAATCTCACAAGTAAGATACTTCTATAAATGAGGGAGCTCAGGGAGGCAAAGTAACTTCCTAAGGTAACAGAATTGGTGAGGTGGTGGAGGCAGGATTCAAACAATAGGTCGGCTAGACTCCAAAATCTGTATTCCTCCACCAACACCACCTCTTCATTTCAATAGGATCTTTCTTTTGGGACTACTTTACCCAGTTAGCCGGTTTATCCATATAGTCGATCCACACTGGTTGTTGAGACAGCCAAAAACACCAGATCAATGTTTCTTTCCATTTTTCTACTATACTGTTACCAACCAACACCAATTATAAATAAACCTCTAATTAACCAAGCCCACATCTCAGGAAGTAAGAACCTATACACCTTAAATCAGTCAGAGGCCACACATTTTCCATGATGAGTAACAGTTAACACACAAAGCTGCTCCAAAGAGACAGAATGAACTGGGAGACTTCACACTTACTCAATTAATCGAAGGAAAATGCTCTGTCTTTTAAAGCATGCTTTTAAAAAGCAGTGAAGTAGAAAAAAATCCAAGAATTGGTCTCAGGTGGATGTTTTATGATGCGCTTAAAAATAACAAGGTTTCCAGGTGTACAAACATGTAAAGAGCATCCTTCAAGGTAAACCACAGGCTCTGGACTTCTCTGAAGCCTAAACAGAGGTCTACACAGCAGAGAACCCCAAGGTGGCTCCTGAATGTGGAGGAGAGAGAAAGCCCAGAACACCAAGCTTAGAACGAGGGGCAACATGCAGCCACGAGCCCCATGAACTGCACAGGCTTTAGCCACATCCCTTCTCCTACACTTGGCATCATTCCTGATGGTTACACCCACAATCCCATAAAACAGCCGTAGTCTATGTAAATCATAATGATGACATGTGATTACAAGTTCAAGGAGACAGCACCTCCCACCCCATCGCACTTCCTGGGCCTCCCAAGTATACTGCAGACACTGGGCAATGCCAGGCTATCCTACCAACCCCAGTCTGGGTGGGCAGTCACCCCTTGACCCTTGACTGTGTCCCCCCCAAACACACTCCTGTGTTAACCCTGCATGTCTTCATTGCTACTATGGATATCAGAGGGCAGGATACTGCAGGGACAGGAAAAGGGAGGCCAAGGGGAGGTTGGAATTAACCGTATTCAGGGGGCCAGATAGAGGGCCAAGTGCAAGAAATAAAATGGGGGACAAACATGAACACAGTCCTGACCTCCTGAAGCTAAGCTGTGTGAGCCTGGGCCTGCTAAGTTCTCTAAGTCTGTTTTCTCACCTGTGAAGATATGGATCATAATAATCCTACATCAGAAGCGTACTGGTGGGATGAAATGGGATAAATAGCAAATACAAGGCCCGAAGAGTCGCTGCGAGCTGGCACTGCTGTCACTTTTGCCCTTTACCACTCTGCCACCCTGCCCTAGGTCAGCTGAGTTGGACAAAACTGCTTGGATGATTGTCTCCCACATTTGCACAAGAATCTCTCCAAAAAAATCTCTTCTTCGCTCCTCCTAAGAACCCCGTATTTTGAATGGTGTTGTCTCCCCAACTGCATTAAATAGTCAGTTTCCCTGTTGTAGTCACCTAAGGCATCAGTGTGATTAGCATTAAAAAAGTAATGTAGAAAAAATAAATTGGACTTCATCGAAATTTTGAAACATGTATGTCCAAGGACACTATCTAGAGAGTAAAAAGGCAACCCACAGAATGGGTGGGAGTACTTTCAAATCATATACCTCATAAGGGTATAGTATCCAGAATATAGTATAAAGAACAGTAAAAACTCAGTAATAAAAAATGCACCCCAATTTTAAAAATAGGCAAAGGATTGGAATAGACATTTCTCCAAAGAAGGCAGATAGACAAATGGCCAATAAGAGCATGAAAAGATGCCCAATATCATTAGCCATCAAGAAAATGCAAATCAAAACCACCTCACACCCGCTAACATGATTATAATAAAAAAGATATAATAACAAGTGTTAGCAAGGATGCAGAGAAATTATAACCCTCACACACTGCTCGTGCAAATGTAAAATGGTCAGTACCTGTGGAAAATAGTTTGGCAGTTTCTCTAAAAGTTAAATGTAGAGTTACCTTATCCCCTAGCAACTCCACAATTAGGAGTATACCCAAGAAAACTAAAAACATAATGTTCATGCAAAAACTTGTACACAAATGTTCACAGCAATATTATTCATAATGTCAAAGTGGAACCAGCCCAAATCTCCATCAGCTGAAGAACTAATTCACAAAATGGACCCTATCCATGCAATAAAAAGGAACGAAGCATTGACACACGCTGCAACACAGATAAACCCTGAAAAGATTATGCTGAGTGAAAAAAGCCAGTCACAGAGAGCCACATAGTGTAGGGTTCCATTTACATGAGATGCCCAGAAGAGACAAATCTATAGAGACAGAAAGCAGATTAGTGGTTTCCATGGGTTGGGATCAGGGAGAGTGGGAATGACTGCTAATGGGTACAGGGTTTCCATTTGGGGTGATGGAAATGTTCTGCAATTAGTGGTGATGGTTCCACAACTTTGTAAATACAGTACAAAATCACTGAATGGTACATTTTAAAAGGGTGAAATTCATGGTATGTGAATTATATCTCCAAAAAAAATGTAAGCGGGCTGAGTGAATGTAGTTCCATCTGCAGCAATGAAACTGCTTATTATAATGCGGCCTAGCTGGACAAGCCCGAGCTGCGACGTTTGGATTCTGGGGCCTCCCCCAACTGAGTCCTGACCAGCTGACTGAACCTCTGTTTACCAGGGCCTGCATCTGTACAGATATAATAACAAGTGTTACTGACATCGTTACCTGGTCATAGAGCTCAAACGGACAGTGCATGTAAAGTGCTCAGTACTGTGCCCCGCAGTCTCGCTGTTCTCCTCGGCCCCGAAGGAACAGAGAAGCCAGCGCCCAGGCTGATGAATGAGAGGCCCTCCCAACCTGCCCCCTCCGCTCCGCCCCTCACCTCGGGGGTCAGCGCGTTGTTGTCTGAGGTCTGGCTGGACAGCAGGATGTGTGTGAACCCCTCTTCCTTCCGCACGACAATGTCCCGGAACCGACAGTTGCTTTCATTCTGGCGGACGCTGTACCTGAGCCTCTTGTCAAAGACATAATCCTTCTCTGCTTCCAGCTTCCTCTTCACCGGGCTGTGCATGTTCAATCCGCCGTTGGTCAGAGCAGAGCCTTCCAAAATCAGATAAAACAAGTGAGAAACCAAGACGGAACAATCGTGCAAGGGCAAGACCAGAGAGCACTCAGATGTTCACTGGAAGGGCCGGATGTCGCTGGGACCCCGTGCACCCTCTCTTCTGGGAGGGGGAAGGGCCTGGGCCTTACTATATCTCCAAACTCAGAAGTCGACAGGGAGGGCTCTCTGAGAAGGACCCCCTGTGATCCTTGATTCCCCTGTCCCACACATCCGCCCGTGAGTACACAGATTTTGTCCAGACGCCTTCAGCAAAAAGGAACCACTGCTTTAAAAGCTAACGGCCACAAGACAAAACAAAAATTCTGCAGCTTTATAATCACCAAAGACTGGAAGCGGCCAACATGCCCTTTACTAGGTGCATGGATAAACAAACTATGGTCCATTCATACAATGGAATATTATTCAGCAATAAAACATTATTAGTTATCAAACCACAAAAATACATGAACACATCTTAAATGCAAACCACTAAGTGAAATAAGCTAGTCTGAAAAGGCTACACAATGCATGATTCCAGTTATATAACATTCCAGAAAAGACAAAAGTATAGAAACAGTAAAAAGGTCAGTGGCTGCCAGGAGTTCAGATGGAGTAAGAAAAGGGTGGGAAGGTGAAGCAAGGGAGATTTTTTTAGGGCAGTGAAACTATTCTGTATGACACTATGACGGTGAATACAAGACATTATGCATTTGTTGAATCCCAAAGAATTTTACAGCACAGTGTACCTTAAAGTATGCAAATTTTAAAAAATGAAGAAGCTGGGAGATTCCCAGGATGGAATGCAGAATATGATAAAAGTATGAAACAACCTCACTGAAGGGGGAGGGGGAAAGTGCTGACCTAAGGAACCTCAGGAATGGGTGGAGTCTGTAAAACTACAGGCAAAATCGCCTGTACAGAAGCACTGCACTCTAGCTGATAAGGTTGATTGCCATGGAGGTAGGCAGGAGTTAAAGATTTTGATACCGCAATACACGTGTGCTGGAACTGAACGGTTATGAAGACAGCGGGTGGTAGGAAAGGTTTCTCACTGTTGGAGACTTTACAGATAAGCAAGGGGAGGAGGCTAGAACGATTCATGTGATGATGGATTCGAGTTGAAGACATCAGTGTGAGCTCATGTTTAGTTTAATACAGTTACAGATGATTACATACAGAAATCTTTATAGATAAGTGCACATACACACGTATTCCTTTGCTCTGTCAGCTGAGAGGGTCCAGAATCAATGACATGCCAACAAGCAGCAAGCACACCTACGGCCCAGATCTCGGTTTCTGATACCGTTCTGAATCAAAGGAGCCAGGGCTCCCTGGAGAAATGGCTGATTCCAAGACTGGAGTAGGAAACATATCAGATAGGCTTGTAGTGGCTGAAAGGAAGGAAGCACTAAAAAAATTTTAATTACCTTACAACGATGAGGGTATGCTAAAAGGACACAGGAGCCAAGTGAATGAGCTCCTAACGGCCAAGGATGGAACAATTTGGGCAAGAAAATAAAGTAGTATTGCCTTATAACTGAGAGTATAAAATCAAGATCCATGAGTCCATACTAATATAAATTAATGATGGAATAAATGAATAAATGGAAGAGAGGAGACAATTCTCCCATGCACAAGAATTCCAAATAGTTTATGTAGACACTCTGCCTTCAAGGAGGAGGAGCTTAAGGCCCCACTGTTTAAGTGTGGGCTGCACACAGTGACTCCTTCTAAGCAGCACAATATGGAAAGTTGGGGGGAGCGGAGTGACAGTGGAGAACCATGATGGAGAAGTCAAGCTCCCTCAGCCAGGTGATCAGGGTCAACACCCACAGTGATACGTCAAGGTGGTGCACCCTTGATTATGATGCGAGGAGGATGGCACTTCACCTCTATGGTCTTCCTCTCGATAACTTACATCACGAGATCCACGTCCAACAAACCCAGAGTGAGGGACATTCTACAGAATACTTCATCAGTACATTTCAAAGCTGTGAAGGTCATCAAAAACCAGTGAAGTCTGAGCACCTGTCACAGCCCAGAGGGACCCAAGGAGACGAGAGGATGAAAGGTAAGTGGGATCCCGGATAGGATTTGGGACAGACATTAGATAGAGACGAAGGAAACCTGACTGATGCATGGACTTTAGTTAATAACAATTCATCAATACTGGCCCATCAACTGTAACAAATGTACCACACGAATGCAGGGTATTAATAATAGCAGAAGCTGAATGTGGGCATATAGGAACTCTCTGTCTTATCTTTCAAATTTCTCTGTAAATCTGAAATGGTTTAAAAAGTGAAGTTTGTTTTAAAGAATACATTTCAATATTAAGTTAATAATAATAGATTTTTAAAAACCACAATACACTTCTTAGGCGATTCTGACATGCAGGCAAGTTTGAGAACCTGGCCCAGTGGTTCTTAAACCTGAAAGTGCATCAGGATCACCTGAAGAACTCTGAAAACCCAGCCTGCTGGGCCCATGCCATGGTGCGGCCACCATTCCCGAGATTAGGCTTTGAGAAGCAGGGTCCAGACAACCCAGGTATTCTCCACCACCAGGCAGCTCCCCGCCCCCAGAGTGCCAAGGTGTGAGAAGTCTCCCTCAAGCCCTATGCTTGCATGCTGATGAAGGTCTGAAAATCTTGTTGAGTTCAGCATTTCTGCTGGGGGTAGGGGGATGGAGCCAGATGTCAAAGCCAGCCTCACTAGGCTGCAGTGATGTGGCAGGAAGGGTACAAGAACACGCAGAGGATTTACTATGTGCTAAGCATAGTCGGAACCTTTCATTTCGTTTTTGGCAGGGAAGGGAAAGAAGTCACGATGGAGACTGAAATGCTGCATCCCAACCAGAAGCTGGTCCCCTGAGGCCAAACCGGGCCCCTCTCAGAAAAATTACTGTGTGGGCAGAGTGGACTCGTCCTGGTTACTAATCCTCAGAGAGCAGGATCGAATGAAATAACATATTTAAAGGACCCATGATATAAGAAGCAAGGAATAAATGGTAGTCCTTGTTTTCTAATCATTACAGCCCAGCTCAACATAAAACTATTTCAATAATATTTTCTGCGTGAATCCTGTCTCCAACAACATTGTAAGCGTTTTGAGGACAGAGCCACTGACACACGCAACAAGGCCCAGCATAATACCTGTGCGCCAGAAGTCCACAGAAAGTGTGCCCTGGCTTCTGGAGCCGTGAGTCCACCTCTGCGTGGACTCAGATCCTTCATTAACATTGGGGGCCCTGGAAGTTCAACCAGACAACCCAGGAAGCAACCAGGAAATGCTTCACTGGACCCCCCCTCCAGAACGCCAGGTCCCCGCCCCGGGGAGCGCCCGGCCTCGAAGGGGCACAGAGGCGGCAGTGCCTGTGCCATCCCAGCTTCCCGGAAGCCGCCTCCTCCTGCCCTCTGCCATTGCTCGAAGCAACTGGGCTTTGTCAACACCACAATGCGGCTAAAATGATTCAATGAACCCTGGAAAGCAAACGGGAGCACTTAATTAACAGGGTTGTGTAAAGGGAGCTGTTTCTTGAGGGTTAACCTCAAAACCTTCAGCTCCTCGGAAGGGCTTCCTAATTGGAGCTGGGCACGGTTTCCGCAGCAGCCCAGGCAAACCCACACGGCGGTCCTGCTGGCAGGAGTTAGCGCATTACAGCAGCTGCTCTTGGTGGACACGGGCTCTCGCCTAGGGAGAAGTCAGAAGCTCAGGGCTCTGATACATCAGTGCTTTCCAGGATTGGGAAAGGTTTGAATAAAATCCTCCTGGCCTCCATTCACTTAAAATCTATTTATTACCTCCTACGGGCTGGCTCTCATACTAGATGATGGATATCCAGAAAATTTTGGAAAAATAAGGTCCCTGCCCTCACGGAGCTTGCTTGGTGAAGGGCGATGAAAAATAAATAAGTAAATTAATACCTAAAATAATTATAGATGGGAAAACAACAGGGTAATGTGGTAAAGAATGGGTGGGGTGTCTCTGTGAATTCAAAGCTTTTTTTCTCTATCAGGACACTGAGCTCAAGTCTCCAGTGGTAACTTGGAAGTTGCACCATCTTTGGCCAAGGAAGGGAGGAGAGACTCCTTAGGGCGTGAATTCACACCACCTACACTATATCCTGTTTCCGACTGTAAGTGGATAAAATGGACCCTGTGTTTTAGGAGACTCAGAGGGAAGTCACCCCCCAGAGCCCAACAGACTAACTTCACACGGAGCTGCCCTCAAGGCCTCTCCCCTTCTGGAGCATGGTACCTTCTGAAAGACTGCAGCAAGCTGGCAGGAAAGACGCCATGGGAAACAGAACATTCCAGAAGCATGGAAGTTGAGGGCTTTGCTGCCAGACAGTATAAAAACTCCAGCCCTGCATTTGCTAACTGTGACCCATTCCATATTCATTTCTCAATGTGTTGATCACAATTCTAAACCTTTGTATTAGTTGTATGCATGAAAACATTGGTTTTCTGAAATCAGGTTGATCCCACACCTAGATGACTTTGTACTTACATCACACCTGGGCCTCCTGCCTCACAACAGCTAAGTGAGGTCTCACCTCTCAGAGGTGCCGGGGAAGAGAACACGGTGTGAGTGCTACGAAGTTTCCTTCCCTTGCAAAGAAAATAGTAACACCTTTGGCAGTTTGAGCCATCACAACACAGAAGGGAGAAGCTGGGATCCCAGAGTCATTCTCTCTCCTGGAAGGTTCTCGCTCTCCTGCCCCTCACACTTCTCACTGTAGCTCTGCTGTTACCTGGCTAGGAATTCTTCCAGAGCAGCTCATCCCTCTTCTCGTGGGTGTGTGTACATGCTTCTGTTTT